AGCAGGAAGGATGATATCACAGACTAACAGATACATGATTTTGTAAGTATCATTTCCTTCAGGAAACAAGCCAAAAGAATACTCATTTCAGACCATGTAGCAGAATTCTCCGGGAAAAAAAAATCAATGTTCCAATGAAAAAAGAGAAGGAATTATCACAGAAGTAACTGAAAAATATACCTGTCAATGAATTCAACATCTTATAATATAAAGAATTCATTGTTTTCAGTTGATTAAAATCCAAAATTTCATTTCACATATATGATAATAACATGACAAGGGAGTACGTTTCTCCTGTTTATATCTTGATTAGTCATAATCTGGATGCCTAATGCAGTCAAACAAGCAAATAATTATTCAAACCAATTCGTCTTGAGCTTAATGAACGCTGTTTTCTGGAAGAAGTTTATATTTCTTCAAGAACTCCAAATCACTTTTTTTCTTTTCATCAAATAATTGCTCAATATTTGCAAGAATCTGTGCCGTAACAGAAAGATGCCCAGTAGCCCCATGAGTATAAGGCTCCTGTGCATTATTTATTTCTTCAGTAAATATCACTTTATATTAACATTAACCTCAACATTTTCTTTAATTAGTATTTACCTTGTCTTGATGCTTAATCTATTTCAAAAAGTTTAATGGTAGTGAATCGTTATACAAAAAAAAAAAATCCTCCCATGATGAAAGTATCACATATCTAAGGCGCTATAACCTTTCAACTTTGTCTCAGTCTCAAATAACAAGATTTGAAACCCCTCTGGAGGAACTAGGTATTAAAGTATTTAATAGTATAATAATAATAATAATAATAATAATAATAATAATAAATGTTCATGATTTATTTTATAAATCCCGAAGTTTATAAATACAAAAATATGTACTTACTTCAACATGCATAAATAAGGTTTGTTCAATGTTATCATTGTTTTTCTCCTTGAGATCTGGTGGGACATTTCTATTTGTTATTTGGAAGTGTGTTTTACTAAGATAACCATCAGCAAAGTCCTGTGTTCAGAAAACAGAAAAGAAAAAATATTTTCTGTAGCCAAAAAGCTAAATGCTATCAATGTGGTAAAAAATAAACACCGCACGATAATTAGGCATAAACTCTAAGTCTTTTTGCAGGCACCAATGATTGTATTGCTTTTCAGCATCTCCTCACAGGTAGTTTGGTAAGTTCTCAGCGTTAAGCAAGTCAAAGACCGAACAGTAAAAATAAAATTTAATGTATCCATTAACTGAGTCAACTGATATGTGGGGACCAAGACTAGGGCCAAACTATTGGAAGCAGCGCATGAAAGGCGCACAGAACTAAATAGCTGACAATGATTTGACCTATTTCAAGCAATGCATTCACACCAGTATAAATTTCCCAATTCTTAATACTTTATTTATGTTAGTTTTGCTCCCCCACTAACTTTCCTATTGTCCTAAAAAAAAAAAAAAAAAACGGGAGCCATAAGGCTGATCTTAGTTGTGGTGGTTGTATTTTTTCTGTTTTGGTCCAAATACAGAAAAAGCTATAGCCATACTTTCTGCCATTCCCTTTTTATCACTCTATTTTCCTGGCCACATGGTCTGCTGTTGTAAAATGCCTCTCTACAATTTCACAATAGCAGAAGAAGCTTTTAAGGGCTTTTCCCCTTGCTGACCTGACTGTCTTCACACATATATAAACATTATTTCCTCAATTAGAAATAAGGGGACAGAAAAAAGTTTAATAACACTCTGACACACTCTGAAAAAGCGAAAGAGTACAGAGAACACAAAGAACAGTAGCTGCATGTTAAGGACTTATTTCTCAGAGGAAACAAATAAATTTGGGTTTTATTAGCTGTTTCATTACATTTTATTTTAGACAAACAAATACAAAAAGCATATGTGCAACATCTGATGTAAAAGGATTCTATTCAAAACAGTCTTTCTACAAAATTCATTAATAAACCATTAAATTGCCTGACAAGGCTGCAAATTTAAATATGACTTTAACTCTCTGGTTAATCTATCATTTCTGACACAGTTTATTTCATGTATTCTGACTTGGAAATCAACATGTGTTCTATTCTGACACATTAGTTCTGTCTTTTCGGTGATATTGTAGAATATATCTAATTCCAGCATCTGTTATGGGCTATTTGTGTACTTTGCTCTTAACAAGCTTCATACCTGAAACAAAATGATAATGTTCTTGGTTTGCATTTTTATCTACAATTTTTTAAGCATGGATAGTATAATGAGCTTGGTATTATGGTATTATCTTGCTCATAACTTCTCTTACTGCCATGCTTTATTTTCCCACTAAATATCATCAAGAGTGTGAATCCTCCGAACTGCTGGCTGTCCTACTGTAGAAGCAACTGCATCCTCTGCTCTGAAAAGTCAAACACACAACAGGACAACAGTGACAGAAAAACTAGGCCGAACTTAGCAATACAAAAGTCACTTATTCCGAGCTCTCTGAAGTCTAGAGCTTCCAAGTACAGTTCCCGCTGTAGAGCTTCTCGTGAAAATCAATGGGAGTAAAGCTACTTGCCTTGTATTTATCCCCCTGACTGCAACAGAGAAAGTACTGCTGCCACCCACAGAGGTGAACTGCTCCAAGGCACCATGAGCTCTGCCCGACAAGGAAGGGTTAGATTCACCTCCCTGAACCAGTTTTTCCTGGGAAGGGAAGGAACTCACCAAAGCTCTATAGCCTTCACAATCTATAGCATTTGAATGCCATGAACAATATCTATGGACAGCTGGCAACACATGGAGTCAGCAGCCTCCTTGACAATTGCTGGTTAAACATGAGAGGTGAAAGGGTGAAAGGAACAAGAGGCATCCTTCCTGCTGCAGTCCCATAGTGAAGGTATTTTGTATACCTATTTGTGTATATCTTT